AGAGATGAAGAAATAAACAATAGGTAACATTTCGACAACGCAGGCGGCACAAAGTACTACAGGCAGATTTTGGGAAATCGCACTAAATTGTTACATTGGCCAACGATGTTTTTAACTTTCTCCCTGTATTCGCGTTGATGACACTCTCCGGAAGTTTATTGAAAACGAAGGGTACATAATTAGACCGAACTCTTTTGCCGTAACGCGTAACACAAGAGGGGGTAATAAATCGTGGTGTACAGCGAAGAGCCCTTCGATGTACAAAGTCATTACTCCAGAAATGTGGCAGCACTACAGTTTGCAAAAAAAAAAAAAAAGAGAGAGAAGAAAAATTTGGCATCTGTAGAAATTCGAAAACATTAATGTCAGGTAAAAATTAATCTGATATCCTACGTTCTTTAACAAGGCCTTTAATATACGGTCAATTTTAATTTGCCACAGTTGCGCGCAATTCCCGAACACTGTAATAACATGTCTAAGTAAGCTATAGCCAAGGGCATGTGCGATTGACTTCCTCACGAAGAATGGCATGAAAACTCTATTATTAAAAGTATACAACTAAAGGTACGTTTATACTTCAACGTAACGTCGACGGGCGTGGCGTAGCGCAGCGCGCACAGATACTGATTGGTCGCAGATATCGAGTTTCTGGTTGCCGGCCAATGAAAGACGCGCGTTCTGCGCTACGCCGAGTTCACTGTGCTCAACGTCGGAGTATAAACAGCCCCTAACGCTCCGAAGTTACCCAGAAACGGACGACAAGTGCGAGTTCCACGACATGTCGGAATCAAATATAATACTAATAATAATAATAATAATAATAATAATAATTTTTTTTGCAAATATACAGCATCAATATATAAAAAAGCAAGTCTGTCAAAAGCCAAAAGCGGCTTGTAGGACTAGACTCGCCATCGACGTCGAGGAAAAACAGTTATACATAAGCATAGCATAAGACAAAACTAAACACAAGTTACAAAAATTGCAGACAATCCTGCAAAAAGAAAATAACACACAAAAAAAAAAAGGCATATACCACCAAGCAAAATTGTTTTGGAAAATCAACAAACAACATAAGCAGAAAACATAATACAAAACATCGTATGAAAAAAAAAAGTACCACTAACATGCCACAAAGACACAAACCAGAAAAATATATTACATGACTCATTCATAATTACGCGCAATAAGTCAACTATACTTCGTCTCACCCTACGATGGACTAAAGACAAAAGCTACGGACCGCCAGACCCAATCACGAGCCACTAAAAAATTGTGCGGTATTTCGCTTCGATGCACCTATCGGTGCCCGCGTCTCGGATCACTGATGAGGGGACGACTGGACAGTGGTTCAAATCGAAGAGCACCGAGTGACTCTACACTTTTACATCGCAAAGAAAGCCACGACATTAGGCCCTTAGCAGCGTGGAAGCTATAGAAATGATGCGGCGCTTTTGGATTCGAGCATCACTCATCCACCCCTAATCAATGGTAAGCGTGTCATAGTAAAGCGTGGAACGTGATTGGACCTAATGGCCCGTGGCTTTGGCCTTTAGTCCATCATAAAGTGAGACAAAGTATAAAAAACATAGGGGAAAGAAAAAAAAAAAACATACACACACACCATATACGTAATTACATATCTCGAAAGAGCAGCGAATCGAAATATCAAAGACCGAGTTTTCCACGCCTTAGCAGATCGTTCTTAGTAGGTTTTTTTTAAGTTTACGTTTTGACTCTAATTCAAGAAAGGTATTGGAGAGGCCGTTAAAAAGTTCAGGGACATAAAACGAGCGCAGTCGTTGTCCATATTTAGTATAAACACGTGGGATAATAATTAATAATAATAATGATAATAATAATAATGCTGTATATTTCATCCGCCAGAGTGCAATAAAGCTACGAATGAATCTTGTGGAGATGCCCGTGCCCTCTTTGGATGCGTAGGGACCCTGCCGCGTCTCCAGAGGGGGTCGTGTCCATCAGCTTGGGAATGACTGCCATACGCTCTAGCTGTAATCAAACTTATACCTGTGCCACACGGGCAACTCGAATGCCATTTACGACGAATGATATTTGAACGATCGGCCAACCAGCGCGCGAAACTCCGAGCGTGGGGCGTTCCACGCGTGACAGATCGCGAGCCGATTCGTCGATCACACGAATGTCATTCGTTGTAAATGGCATTCGAGTTGCCCGTGTGGCACGGGTATTACAAGCTGGAGAACCCGACTCTAGTACCCAGTTGGTGTTTTTGTTTCCATATGTGATTGTTTCGGATGCACCACAGACAACTGAGGAATAGGTACAGGTCACTATTAAGCTGACCAACGTTTAAAAGTTTAGTAAATATAAACTTATTATAGAAAAGAGAAAAAAGAAACAGTAGACATTTCCCCGCACGCAGGGTTTTTCTGGGATTAGTACTTCCCTGCATCGTATGTGTTCTCAAGGTGCAGCCAACTTCCCAAACATGCGAAAAAAAAAGAAAAAGGAAAAGTACATTGATTTTTTTTAGACAAAATGTTACAATACATGAAATCCAATCGTTCTGTACATTTGCTTGTGTTACTAGGGATGTCATTTGATTTCTTTTACTTTTTAATCCTACTTCATGTGTTTAACTCGGTTTGTATGACTCTAAAGTTCTTTGCCTTTCTCGACGGTTACTCGTATGGCGTTGCAGATGTCAAACGAATGCAGTTCATGCATAATGGAAGGTTTGTGTAGAAGTAACCGAAACATTTGGTTGGTTACATCAGTAGTGCATTCGCTTACGCTCGCCATCTCGGGCACTAGTGACTGTTCACTGACAGGCTCTTGCTAAGGGCTTGCGTACCCCATCTCGGGTCTTGGCTTCGGTGAACTGCGAAGCGCTTGCTAGGCGCTCACGTTTGTTTCGCATCCCGAGCCTTTTTTTTTCTGAGTAGTTCGAAAGGTTCTCTTTGGTAAGAGAGCGCGTGGAATCGGCGGGCGCCACGCCAAATGACGTAGCTGCGCCTCAGAAGCTAATTGACGTGAGCCTCTGGTTAGCGACGCTGGTAAGTACGCCGTTGTTAGCCATTGATGACTGGTGGCCGGACGGACGGAGGGACGAAGGACACATTTCTTAGTTTTTGTTTAAAACTTATTTCATGTAACAAACAAACAAAGAAAAAGAAAAGTTACAATTTTGGAAGTCGACAATCAAAACTAAGTAAGAGTGCAACGGAGAAAAAATCAAATAACTTCGAATTGACCAAGACCCCCTGAGAATCTTTAACGCACAAGCGAAAGCGCAGTCGCATGGCGCCTATACTGCAGTCAAACTTCGTCGGACTGCGAGCTCCTCGGCCCGATCCGCCAAGGGGCACACTAGGGAATTGTAGTAGAGCGTTTCCGCAGCCCGCTAAGCACCCGGATAGCGCTCCGTAATCCGCCACAAGACCTTGAACTATGCAGGCAAGGCTGGGGGCGCGCATGCGCAGCTGCGGCGTTTTCTTCGGGGATACCGTAGCGGAGGAGAAAAATGATCTACTACAACTCCCTATTACCTGGAGGGGGCGCCATCGCTACGAAACCTGCGGGGTAATTGACTTGGAGGCTAACAATCGCGAGCTCATGCCCTTGGAGCGCCATCCGATGAACGTTGGCGTACGCGGCAGAGGCAGAGCAAGCTGCTGCTGAACCCAGTGTAGAGATCGTCACATATTAAGGATTGGTACTAACAAAGTGCCGCCGAATCGGTCGAATATAACGCAATGAAAAGAGATACAGTATATTCTGTTGTACGTAAGGAAAATGAAGTAAAAACAATAGGAGATTACAATGATGGCAAAGGACCGTCCAAGAAGAAGACAAGAAATAAAAACGCAAAAGACTAATATGAAAAGCCGCGTATAGGCCTTAGAACAGAGCTTGATTGAAGCTCCGGGCTTCGATGCGTTCGCGGGCGGCCGCCTTGCCATTGAGACCGCGACGACCTCATAGGAAAACATTTAGAGGCGCGCTAATTGAGCGGACGCCGCAACCTTCTCCAGCAAGTCGGATCCCTCGCGGGGGGAGTAGGATCCACTTGCGCGGGGGGTTCGGCCCTCGCGCCAACTGACCGGTTCACGCGATCGCCTGCCGGCCGCCGTCCCTCCACCGGCGTCGTGCTCGATGCTCGATCCCTCGCAAATCATCCCCGGTGGAGAGAAAGAAGGGCAAGTAGAGCCAGTCGGTGTCGGAAGGGGCGCTCCGCATCCTCCTCGGGAAGAAAAAAAAAAAAAAAGAAAAGAAAAGGAAAAAAATAAAAGGTGGCGGTGATTCGATTCCCCGCAAAGGGGGGGAAGGGGGGATTCGCGTAAGGAGGGCCGCGGGGGTCGAGAGCGCGCGATCAACGCGGATCCCCCGAACGCTCGCTTTTCAAGGTGAACAACCTGGCCGGTCAGGAGGGAAACGCGGCCGGCGGAGCCCCTCTCCGGTCCGGCGAAAGTAGGGGGAAGGTCCGAGGTCGAAACATTTTTGTTTGCAGGTGGGCTACCAGCGCTGACCGTGAGAGAGGAAGAGCGCCGTCATTACGCACACACCGTGGCAGCGGAGCCATCCGCGCGCTAAATTTAGCAGGGATGCCCCCGTCGCCGCCATTCCGCCGGCTGGGCCCTGCTGAGTGCTGGACGCCACCGAGACAAACGGTGCGTGTTCGCAGCCGGCTTTTGCTTTTGCGCCCGAGCGGAGGGGTTGTCGTGGGCTATGCGGCCGAATCTAGGCCACTGCCACGGAGGCCATCTGCTTTTCGGGCCTTGCCCGCTATTTTCTGTCCGCCAGGGAAGGGGGGTTACCGCTCGGCTGCCGCCCGCACGCGGAGCAAGAAGGTTGGTCGGCTTTTGTCTTATTATATTATCTCCTCGAAGGAGGGGGCGGCGGCATGGGGGATTCACCACTGGGAGAGGAGGTGTGCACTCTAGCTGGACATATAAAAGGCAGAGGCCCAAGACCGTATTCGGTCAGTTCTTGTCGAAGGTAATTCAGCATCAAACATGGCTACCGTCCTGGTGAGTGGTCCTGGCCCAAGGGCTCATAGCCATTCCCATACCACGTGCCCACTTTTTTTTTAGGTTCCTAGTGTTTTTAGGGACCAAAATCAGAACCTCGGTAGCGTCGCATCGAACGTTTTAGTGACGAAATTCGCATGCGGCATCAGGTCGAGGTCAGAGGTCTGCGAGTCTGTGCCTACGTCGCGCGCGGAGCTCGAAACTGTGGCAGCGTTAAGGCCCGTTCACACTCTTGCGACCGAGTTAGACCGAGAGAGACCAGACCGGTTTTTAAGCCTCTTGCGATCTCTTAGGACCAGCTCCGCTGCATCGCATCCGGCCCTAAAAAGTCGCAAAAGGCTTAAAAACCGGTCTGGTCTCTCTCGTTCAAAGTCGGTCGCAACAGTGTAAACGGGCCTTTACGTCTTGGCAGTGCCTAACCTGTTACAAGGTGTTGAGATACGTCTGACCCCGGGTCACAATTCCTTGTACAGACGTTACGTACTCCTAGAATGCGCGCTCAATTCAGTGTACACGGTTGAGAAAGTAGCACGGGCTCGGAATAAACCGCGCGAGGAGCTTGACCATGCGCACAGAAACTGGTGCAGGCAAATGATCAAAATGAAACGTTTCCACCTCAGCTAGTCCATCTCCGACCAAGAGTGCGCGCGATTCTCGCAGGTACCGCGAAGAGGGACACTCGGGTGGTGCGCATCCCGATCGAAACGGGAGGGTGCAAAGTCGAAATAAGGGGACGCCAGTCCACTTCCACCCTTATTTTTCTCATCGCACTGTCACAGTCACAATCGAGAGCTTGACTAGATCGCACGCTTCGGAAAGCGGGCCAAGCTGGCGCGTGCTCAATCCATGCTTCGAAGTGAAGGCACAATCTCTCGCTAGCAAAGGGAAGCTTTAGTGCGCGTTCTACCTAAAGTCCCTAATAAGGGGTATTCAGACGAGGGAGAATCCCGGGGATTTCTCCCTCGTGTGAATACCCCTATAGCAGGAGCATGAACATGCAAACTCGCTGAAGTGTGAACCAGCTTTTTCCTCTTCTCTGGCAATTTGCTGATAGTGAGTTTTAGTACATCGCGTTTGCGCTCCGATAACGGTACCCGATAAAGATACGATGCATGCGCGAAGGCGCCTGCCGAATATCGGGGAATCTTCAACGGAATGCAAAAAGGATGTACTACAACTCTCCGAGTGACTGTATTTCGTGCTCGGTGTGACACAAATGAAGGTTACCCGGAATATTCGAACCCGCTATAGTCCACCTGACGATGCTTCCTAAGCCAGGGTGATTTGAATACGATGTTTTGTGCTCGAGTCACTCTTTCAAACGGCCTACCACAAAATATAGCTCCTGATCCCGAAGCGTCATGCCGCGTTAAATACGCAGCATGACGTTTAAACGAAGCAACGTATGCGACTGATAGTGCTCTTTTTTTTTTTAATTTAGCGTGAGTGCGTTTATCCTGCCAGGAAAGCCTATTGAGGCAAGGGGCAGTCGAATGGTGGTCATAGCCAAGGTGTCCAACCAAACCCGAACCGAAAATCTGAGCAAAACCCTAATTTTTGAGCGAACCGGAACAAAACCGGAACCGAAATCACACATTTGATATTGAACCCGAACCGGAACGAGAGCGTAATTTCATGGGGCGGTTACCGGCTCATTAGAAAACAGTTCGGCGTAATGAACTGTGCACCGTGCCTTTATTTCTGCGCGTGGCGGCGCGAAGTCAACTAAATAATGGCGACGGAGTCGTGAGCAGCGCAGTTTTGTACTAAACAAACAGCAGTGACATGGAGGCAGCTGAATAATAATTAGACCAATAAATATATTTCACGTCTATGTGCAGCACGACTTGGCGTCGGCGTGGAGGCGTCAACTTCCATAGCTGAGGGAGAGGAGGAGGAGGAAGAAACTTTTATTGTGCCCCTATATCAGTCTCTGGGTGGTTCCCTTCTTAGTCCATGGCCCCAGCGCCTGTAGGCTCTCAGCCTCTCCAGCTAGATCCACTTTAGTTGAGCGCCGAGCTCTGACTGGAACGATTAGGGGGTAGACGCAAAGCTAACTTTCTTTCTTTATATACTCACTGTTCAAAAATCCAAACGCCAAACGCTGCACGCCGGCGTTCGGCGTTCGAAAGGGTTCGAAGAGTGAGCAGAGACGTGTGGCACTCGGTTGGTCGAACGACGTTTTAGCGATCGCCGACTTTTCATCGAAAGATACTTTAACGAATGGTTTTCGGGTGGGCCAGGTGGTTAACATTTTTGTGATGAACCGCCGCTAAGCGGCGTGAACGCAGCGGGGGAGGGGGGGGGGGGGAGGTGAACACGCGCCTTTGTCATCCGCTAAAACGTCGATTCGCTCTAACGACCGCTGTTCGCTAAAACGTTATTCGCTCATGTGATATAGACACGCGCTCTTGTCACCCCCTCTCCCTAAGTTTCAGCCCGTAACCACAAATGGGGGTATCACTCTAAAAAAAAAAAAAAGCCCGTGCGTCTACTTCCCCGCACAACACTGGGAGAGACAATCAGCGCAACTTACGGAGGCAGCTCAGCGAATGGGGATGCCGAAACATATGTTTAGACCTAAAAACTCCGTCTGAGTTGTGACATTAAGCAATGCAAAACGTCACGCTCGCATTCCTTAATGTCACAGCTCAGACTGTGTTTTTGTCTAAACATACGTTTCAAGATCGTCATTCGCTGAGCTGCCTCCGTAAGTTGCGGTGATTGGCTCTCCCAGTGTTGTGCGGGGAAGTAGACGCACGGGCTTTTTTTTTAGAGTGTACTGGAGCCAATCCATATATTTGACCTGTGTACTTCCAGTTGAGCAGAGCGACGCGGGGAACGCGAAGTCACGTGAGCAGTTCCGAGCTATGGGTTGGCTCCGGCAGCTCCTAGTGTCCGTCGTGGTGCATCGTAAGATGATCGTTAAGATAGTCGGAGCACGCCAAGAGGCTGAAAAGCTATTCTTTTTTTATTTTATTAATTCTTTACTGCTAAAATGCATTCGTTAAGGAAAAGAAAAGCAAACCTAAAAATAAGAAAAGCCAGTTGGCTGTCGGTGTTTGTTTCGCGGATACAAAACTGGAGGCGACAGGAAGCAAAAACACGAGGGGCGCGATCTCTGCGGACAGCCAAAGCAAAGCTACTGGGGAGAGAGCGTATGCCAACATGTGCAAGAGGAGGAAAAGGAGGAACGTGAGAGAAAGGCTGGGATTCCCCCGTTTCTTCTTTCCCTCCTCTTGAACAGGTTGGTATACGTTCTCTCCCCTGTAGCTTTGGCTGTACTGCACTGTTTTAGTGAGACGGAGTATAGAGCACTGGGCACTGCTTCAAGAAATATGTTTTGGTTGTGTGTGGATTTTTCAAGTGCAGCAAGCCGCCCGTCACTTTTTTTTCCTGTTTTTTTTTTAAATTTTCTTTTAACCATTTTTGGACTGCTCTATGCCGTTTTTCTCCTCTTTAACTCAGTCGTTCGGGCGTGTGGGGTGGGTAATTTCCGAGTGTGGTACGTGCTAGTGTCGTGGAGTCAAAATGCGTGCTGGCTGATTAACTTCACATGCGAGTGCTGTACATTGGTACTGTTACCGAGCGTATTCATGACTACGTGATTAGCATATCACGGTGTTTCCGATAGGAAGTCAAGACCACAAAACGAAATTAAGAATAGTAATTTATGTTTTGCTGTACTGGCCTCTTCAACACAACTTCTGATGACGCTTTTTTTTTTTGCATTTTTATTGCAAATGACGCCGTGCTCAACACGCTTTTTGTTTTTAACGGCGGGGAGCTGTGGACTCTTCTTTTTTGTTTAGTGCAGGAAATGCACGGGCGGCCGCGGTCTAACGTGAAGTTAAAAGCTAGTTTGAACTGGTTCGCTCTTGGTGTAACCGGTAACCGAACGCGGCACGCCGGTAGCGTTGAATGACGTGAGCACCAATAGGAGGTCCCAGACGCTCTTCAATACTGTGCCTGTCTCGAGACCATATTCCGTCCACCCCGTTCTTTTTTCAGCTCCTCGCCACAGTCTGTTGCGTGCTCTCCGATGTCCTCGGCGGCGGCTTCGGCGGTGGCGGCTTCGGCGGAGGTGGCTTCGGCGGGGGTGGCTTCGGCGGCGGTGGCTTCGGCGGCGGAGGTGGCTACGGAGGAGGCGGCTTTGGCTCCGGACTGGGTTTCGGGAGCGGCAGCGTCCAGACGTACGCCGCAGGCCCCACGTACTTGGTCAAACCCACGCACGGAGGTGGCGGCTTCGGAGGCGGCGGCTTCGGTGGCTTCGGCAGTGGATTTGGCGGAGGCTACGGCGGCGGCGGCTTCGGAAGTGGCTTCAGCGGTGGCTACGGGGGTATGGGTGGCGGTGGAGGCTTCGGACATGGGTCTGGATCCAAGGTCATCGTGATCAAGGCTGGCAACGGTGGTGGAGGCTACGGTGGTTTCGGTGGTGGTGGTTTCGGAGGCGGTGGATTCGGAGGTTTCGGCGGTGGCCACGGTGGACTCGGGGGTGGCATGTCCTCCGGTTGGTGGTGACCCCAATGACAAGGCCAAGGGGATTATTCTTTGTCCCTTCATGGGAGAGCTCCATTTGCGCGCGGGTGTCGGTTCCGATGGAGCGAAGTTCCACCGAGACTGTCATAGACCTACTCACTGAGAATCAACGAAAGTTGCTGGTGACGCAGTGCTCAGGGTCCTGGGACATGACCTAGGATATCGGCAGCAATCGAAGTGAATAAGAAGGTCACCAAGCGCACAAAGAAGATCGATGTTTGGCACACAAACAATCGGAAAAGCCGACCAAATAGCTGTTGTGGAAACAGCGAGACATCGCTTCGCACTGGCATTCTGAAGCTAGCGTCGTTACTAATTTATATCCGATTAATTTCCACTTCTCCAGGCTACGCACAGAGGTGTTTATACTGGCAAATGACCAAATAGGTATCACCTTCCTCTCAACATGTGACACGAATATTGATTCTTGACTTTTATACAGTTTCTGTATTCGCTTAAAGCGGTATGCCCATGTTGACCAGGATGCCAGTGCCACACTGCACACGCGCCTCCCTCTTCGGCTCTTTGTTGCGACTGCCACATACGGTAGGCACGCGCAACCAAACGTTCGGCTCGCAAGGTTAGCCTTTCTAAACGACGTTGCGCATGGATAGAGTCTCGCTCGGATTGGTGTAACAGGTTCATCACGAACTCGAATACCAAGTAAGCCCGGTCCCGATAGATTCAGGGCATGAGCGAATACAAGTCGATACTTCTGCTCTTAGGACGTATCTGAGATCTGAGCAGATCCGAATTAGAGAAAGGACCAAATCTCCGCGTGGAGCTCATTGGATCGTGTTCATGAGAGACATTGGAGCAAAACATCGTCTCTTATATTGTTTTCTTTGTGCCTTTTATAATATTGCTTTCATAATAACGCTTGCCGACAGACATGGCGCGACATGACTCAGGAATGTTTTGGGCAAACCCGGAGCACACGACCGTCGCATCGTAACACAGCGCCCGCCTTTTGCCGTGGACAATAAGAACCGAATCCGCTTCCCGCCCATAGGCGCGCCCCCAAAGCAAGTCACGTTTCTCACCGTTCACCAGAACGACCCGATGGTGGTACGTTCTGTGAGCACAGCCCTTTAGACGGTTAGCGCACACCACTTTTTTTTTTTTTTTTTTGTATTTTAGACACGGGCAGGCTATAGTGTCGATCGCCATATTTCTGGTTAGCGCCCCACAAAAGCACACTCCACTACACTAGAAGAATGTATCACAAATTTTCGTTCACGTGAAATTAAATAAATAAAAAAAAAAGAAAATAACAACAGGTGATCGCTTGTTAGCTCCATGTCGCGCTGTATACAAGAACTGCATACGACCTGCCGAGAAAGTGAGTTAATCAACACGAATGTTCCCATACTTACGGCAATGTAACACAATGGTACGAAAAAAGAAGAAAAACGTTTTTAGACTGTGCAAAAGCTTTCGTAGCACGTATCTTCTTTATTGTCTTTTTTTTAAATTTAAGAGTCGATTTTAACAGCGAGCCCAGCGAGCTCGACAATATAAGCCTATTTTGCTTTGAACACTTTAACAACCTAGCTCGCGGATCGGTAATATCTGCCACGATTCTGCTGATCACAGTCCCGATTCCTGTTTTTTTTTTTTTTTTTTTTTTTTTGTGTGTGTGTATTGCGTGAACGGCGGGACACACTTACACGCTGACCGTTTGGCATTTCCGAAAAGATATAATACACACCCAGTACGCTCAGGGTCTTGCTAAACGCCACCATTTACAACCAGCGTTTTTACTTAATAACAAATGATGCTGCTATCAGGCACAAGCCTATAAGGATACCTACGAACAACGGGTACGGGCTTAAAAACGCAAAACTAAACTTCAAACCAAATCTCTAATTTTTTTTTTCTTGTTTTTTTTTTTTTTTTTTTTGCTGAGAGATTATTTGAGACAATAAAACTGATGTAGACCTAACGGACGAAGAAATAGGCAAACCTCTACGCACGAGAATGGTCAACCCGTACGAATATTTTTTTTTTAGCGAAAAGGGGTAGGGGTAGAGGCTAAACTGCTGCAGAGAACCAAGCCGCAAAGTGCACTACCGTCCTTTCTTATTAATCCATTCCGCTCAGGGGCATGTCCTTGCCTTAACGTACTCTGCAGCGTAGGATTCATTGTACGAAAGCGGAAATTTCCCACTGTGCCAAGATGTAGCCTCCTCACCTATGCCTGCAGTTTGTAAATAGAGAACTGGCGTACAAAAATGCGCTGGTTAATAAAACCTACCAAACCAAGGTGGCTGAAATAAGGTGTCTTTATTGGGTCGTTAGGCTTCCCTCGAGGGACTGTCCTGCGACACAGAACTCGAACACAACCAAGGTTATGAAGGGGCCTTCAATTGTGGACTTCCTCGCGTCGCGCAAAAATAATCCACTGTAAAAAAGAAAAAAAAAATCTAGCGGTGGCGTTGGCGCCTATCATATGCTGTTCCTGGTTCAAAAATTCCTAATTACCGACGAGCTTCTCCGAAGTCCGAGCTCCAAATGCATCTCGGATCATAGCTTCCCTCCCTGATGCTTTGAGAGGGAGACGCCGAAGCCAATGATCGTGCATCTCACCAAAATAAAGATCTGGCACTGGTGGTCACTGCTGACTTCTACGTGTATCAGATCCGTAAAAGTTGAAAAAAAAATTACTACAATAGTTGTGCATCTGCGGGTGCATGTGGGTACGCGGAGCGCCCCAAGAAACGGCCGCGTATGCTGCCTTTAGAGCCTAAAAGCGGCACATTGCTTTCCCTGCAAACCGGTGTGCTGTATCAAGAGCTTTAATCTCGTCGGCAGCAGAACAACCACAACAATAAGTTTCGCTGAAGAGGACCCACGATCCGCCCACTCTTTCTTTAGCGTACATCAGCGAGGAGAAAACTAATTCGCATCTCAATTACGACCGCAATCAACTTGGTGTATACCGCCAACCTCGTGCCCGGCTGATAATCGAACGTGCACGATACACGCGCCGGGACGATCCCGTCAAAGGCAGCTCGCGGCGAGCGTCTACAAGAGCGATGACGCACGCGCGCTCCCACCTTGGCGGCAGACATCAAAACAGTGGGCTGAAAGTGATCGCGCGGTACGAACCCAGCGTCTGTCACGTCCCCGACGTCCGGAGGCAGATGCGAGACGGGCAGAGGAACGCGATTCCTCAGCTGCGCTACGCGTGCGACATGAGCGCCCAGCATGAGCGGACGACAAGCAACGTACAGCCGGTCTCCGCGCGGCGTCGGCGGCGGAGACTACTCTCTCCGGCGGGACACGCACGCACGCACTGGCGGCGTCTGAACAGCCATTACTCTCATGTCCAGCAGGTGATCGCCAACCCGGAAGTCGGGATCGGCTGACCCCTTCTCCCCTCCCCGCAGCTTCCAGTTTCTGTGCGGTGCGTGCGTGCGTGCGTGCGGCAAGCCAACGGGCCCGTCGTGCATAATCACAGTGTCGAGTCGTCAAGCCCCGTGCGGGACTCGGCCGTTTCGGAGAGTCTCTCCTTCCCTCTCCCTCGCGCAGAGTCGCGGCACGCGGTTGCAAGAGGCACCTCGAGGAGGTTCCTCTCAGAAGGGCAGGAGGGGAGGTGGAGGGGTTGGGGTAGGGGAGTAGCAAGTGGAACAGGAGCAGTTCGGTTTGATTCTACCAGTTTGTTTTTAACAGCCTGGGCGTGAATTGGCGTGGGGCTTTGTGATTCCCCCTCCACTGGCCGTGGCGACTGAGCCCCACTGTTTCGCAATCCGCCCGGCGGCACAATGACCTCATCTTCCGCCAGCGTTGTATATAAGCACGGGCCCGCAACGTTCCCAGTCATCGCTCCAAGTCCAGCTGAGGCGAGATCAAGCAAGCTCCACGATGAGGCTCATGGTAAGCCACGCAGACTACGCCACATTTCCTCCATTGCGTTGCTTAGCCGGGAAGTATAAAGAGTCTAGCGGAGTGCTAGCATACGTACTCATGGGATACTCATGCATTTTCTCTAATCCGGACACGGGAATCTCCGTTACATGCTTCCGGAGCAATTTTTTAATGCTTTTAGACGGTTCCTTCGCGCTCAATGATTGTAATCCATTCACCCCTCTCGTGAATACGAAGTCATCCGAGGATATTATAAGAATCTATGCACATTGTATCCCAGCCAATGTGCACATTTGGAGAGACATTCGAGCGCGAACGTCCCGTGCCTCTTGCTCGGATATGATTCTGATTGCTCTGTGTGCACCATTCTGAAACGCTATGCTTACCGGTCTTTGCGATGGCCTACGCCTAACTTGTAACTAAATGTACGAGGCTGGTGGTATGCCGAAATGAAGATCATCACACTCATAAATGCACTAGCAGAGATTAGTTTCATTAGTGCATGAGCAAGCATTACCGGAAGGAGGCACTGCTCTCAGTAACGCTTGCTCGTCCACATTGATTCCGCGCAGCCCGGTGAATTTTAGTGATAATTTTGTGGTGTGCTCTCGGTGGGCAGGGCGGGGCGCTTTCATGCGTAGTAAGCGCAATTTCATCTGCACTCCCGATGCCCACTCGCTTAGAACGAACGTGCGATCCCCGATTTCAAATATCTTTCGAAATTGTGGTGTGTGTATGTTCATACAGCCTGAACTTATTCTGCCTCAACGGGCGACTTGTCTCCCAGCTGTAAACGAGATTTAGCCAGTGCGGTACAAATGCTAGCCTGTGGTCTTTAATGCGCACCATGCAGTAGTGATACACGACCGCACGCCGGTACGAGGCTCCTACAGATCGAAACGGGCAGGGGTGTGGATGGAACCCAGGATCCCTGGCTTCTGCAGTGCGAGTTTTCGCTCCACGTGCTCCAGGCTGGTCACCGATCCCCATAGGCATCTTTCACAAACGCCCATAATGGGTGACATAAAACGAAAGCCTTTTTACGTGGTGGATGCTGCGTATAGACCACATCATTCATATCATCAGGTGTGGATGTAATCGGTACGGCTATCGAGGCTGGTCTGTAGACGCGTGAATTACGAGCAAGCGGAAAGCCCGCACTAGGGCTTTAGCTGTGTCGGAGATTGAGCAAGCCCTTCAAGTTCCCTACCTTTTGCCCTGGTGAACATGCTAAGATCATTTTCTATTGACAGCTCCAGCAAAACTTCTCGCCGACCTTCCTTTGCAGCGTGATGTTGGGACCGCCAAGTGCTGCATGTTTTGCTGAATTGTCGCGAACAAGCGGCGGTACATTTAGCCGCACAACTTCGGTTTGGCACGAAGCCGGGCTGGTGCCAATTGACAGAAGCCCGAACCCGTGAAAGCAAGTCGTCAGAAATCCGTCAGAGCATCTGGTGCCGAAAGCATAGCTGCAAAAGATTGCTGAAAAAAAAAAAAAAACGGTTAGATGGAGTCTTTCGCACTCCGTTCATATTTCTTCCTGACCGAGGCGAAAGCTGAATGGAAGCTTGCGGTTCAGTTTGACGACTGACCCAGATCAAATCTCTTTGAAGTACTTAGGACACTTGTAGCGCTATAGCCACCGACTGAATAACAACCGGCTTTTCTAAATATCATGGGAGCAAATAAAACGCCTAAAGTATTCCAAGGAAAAATCGAGGCACTGCACTACTCAAAAGTTCGAAAGTGAAAGTCCCATAACCAAACGATGGTTCCTCTCTCGCCTTGCAGATTGCAGTCGTTCTCGGTGGTTGCCTCGTGGCAACAGCTAGCGCCGGATCACTTGGCGGTTTCGGCGGAGGTGGCTTCGGTGGTGGTGGCTTCGGCGGTGGTGGCTTCGGCGGAGGTGGCCACGGTGGTGGTGGCTACGGTGGAGGTGGCTACGGCGGTGGCGGCTTCGGTGGAGGCGGCTTCGGTGGAGGCGGCGGCATCGCCAAGATCATCGTCATCAGGACAGGCGGTGGAGGCGGCTACGGAGGAGGTGGATTCGGAGGTGGTGGCCATGGCGGCGGTGGATTTGGCGGCTTCGGAGGGGGTGGATTCGGAGGTGGTGGCTACGGAGGCGGCGGAGGCCACGGAGGATGGTGGTGATCTCTCAAAGGTAGGCGTTTTTCGTTTGTTGGTTGTGTCTCTGACACTACAATCACTTTCTTGTCTATTGATACGTCCGCCGTCACTTCCTGCTCGTGCTGGGAAATCAACTGCTTTATTTGAGTCTCTGAGAGCGGACGGTTCGCTTCACATTCTAAGTGCTTGACGCTGTGCGCTTAACAGTTACCGCGGATACGTTAGCGACGTATTAAATCTGCGGAGTGTTTAATTGTCTGAGGATGGACAGCTTCACAATTCAAGCGCTTGATGCTTGGTATTGCCACATGTTTGGCGTGACTGCGCCTTCCTGATGGATGAGTCAAGATGCGAGTGCTCAGGTAATGGGCTCAACACTTGCTTGTTTCCAAGCGCACACGGTGTTAGAAAAGAAAAAAAAATAGGAGGCGGGACTACACATTATGAGTCCTATCAAAGCCCTCAAGTTGTTTCTTTTATCTCCAGCTAACTTTCAATCTAAATACTTCAATATTGTGGCCATAGTAAAGCACGCAACAACAACAACAACAACGAGAAAGAAGGATCGAACCGAGGAGAATTTATGTTGTATGAATTGAACTTTTATTTCAGCAGGTTCGCAGACAACCACTCCCAGTCAGAAGACACGCCAGACGAACAGCGCCCGCGTGTATTCACGGACAACGCGCATGGCATGGCGCTGGATTCAGCAAGCGCTGACACATGGGCCCACATCAGAAAACTGGGAGAACCAAAAACGAAACAAAAAAGAAATGCCTCTACGTCACGCGTGTCAATCCCTCACCAACATCCCTGTAATAAAATCCCTCTCCACAACCCAAAATACAGTTGCAAAGTCAATTTCTTCACATTTTAAGGTACACGCCAGCTTGAAGAGGACTGGAGGTAGCCAGCCGGGCCGTTCGAGTCGCCAGATATGAACTGTTCCTGTAGCTAATGAAGTGATTCCGCGCTATTCGTTGTAGAGCCATCGCGTGCTTAGCGTCTTCCCTTTAAATAGCTCACGGGATCTGTAGCTTCCTTTAAATGGCTCACCGGGTCTGTAGCTTCCACCCCTTGCCTAGTATATGGTGGAAACAAAGGAGCCGTAAGCGAACTTATAAGTTTTACAGCAGGAAGAATCTCCAGGGCGACATATTACGTGAGAACTCGGCTCAATTCGTCCTGGTTAGTCATAGAGGGAAGTATGCACATGAGTATAGGACGATGACCCAGGGAATACGATCGGCAGAATTTTCTCCCAGTGACGGAGTTTGGAGTTCAACCAGAAAGAGGGAGGAGTCAGGGAATTCGGAGGTCTATACGTGCGCGAAAAACCGAGCCGGAGAATGTTTACCTGTAGTCTGTAGACCTTCCCTCTCACTTTTTTTTTTTTTTAGCACGCTATGTTAGGAGAGCATGGCTCATTCTGTTCAGGCTCCCTCTTTCGTGATTGTTTTTTATACGTTCTCATCGGAAAATGTCGAAATCTGATCGGCTGCAGAAGGACAAAAACCTGCACGGGACTCGCCCCACCCTGCCATTCTTAGACTGCCTGTGATTATAGCTATTTTCATGGGGCTCACCCAGACGAATAAAAGTGAGCAGCGTGGGATCGGACCGATCTGTAGTGCGGAATAAAGCGAAGGACGAGCGTCGAGGTGAGCACTGCGTTGGAGCGTCGGTTTAACTTTAGAGCGGATAATTATTCAAAGTTTGGTTCAAGCGGATAAGGATGCAGATATTTGATATAATCTTTAAAAAAAAGTTCTTGGACAGAACATTGGTTGTCGGATAGAACTAATGAGAACCGATGAAATTGCCAGCAATTCCTCAAGTATATACATATCATGCATACCTCAAGCATATATATATATACAATGCAAGTCCTCCGCGAGTGGATTGCTTGCAGAAGCTACGGGACTCTCCGAACTTCCTTGGGGGCAAGAGTGCAAGCGGAGCCAGATTCACAAGTTGGAAAGACTTGTAAATTTGGCGCCTATTCCGAAAATACCTGATGCACCCCTGGTTACCTCTAGGGCAATGCATACCAATTAAAAAAAGAAAGAAAAGAAATTGAACGGGAAATGAAAGGGCATCGTGAGAGACTGTGTTAAAAAGTACTCGTACTTTACTCTGAAAGTACACTGTATTAATAGTACTTTACTTCAAGTACATTGCGCCCGGTGTACTTACTACTTTACTTGAAGTACATAACCTCTAATTTAATTTGTACTTTACTTCAAGTACTTTTTAGATGTACAGTGCTCACCAAACTTATACGGGACACGGGAACTGCGTGTTTTCTCATGGAAGCGTGATCCTGGAAGAAGCTGACCAACAACTCTTTGACGTAGCACTTCGGGATGGTTTGTTGAGTGCTACATCTCAAAACTGTTGCTCGGCTGCCGCCAAAATAGCACTCCCATGAGAAAAGACCCAGTTCGCGTGTTCCGTTTAAGTTTGGTGAGCGCTGTACTTTACCGAACACCGGCTGAAAGTGATTTTGCCCTTTTCGAACAAAGATTTGTTCGAAAAGGGAAAAATGTGTTCATTTACGCGTGCCCCGTGGATGTGTTGCACGCGGAAGAGCCAGGCAGATGAAAGGACGCAGAAGAAAATACGCAAGAACTTAAAACACGTCGGTAGCGCTTCGAGCAATCCCGACCTCCCCGGGGCTAACTTCTACTCCCACGTAGCATGGAAGGCTTCCACAACAACTGTCGAGATTTCTACATAAGACGAAGTATATCGGCGCCTCAATATGTACGCGCCTGTGTAGATCCGTCGAATAGTTTTTTTTTTCTCTCGCGCAATGTTTTTTTTTTTTCTAGGATGAGAGCAACACATTTAGCACAAACAATCGACCGCGGAGGTTTTTTTCATGCTTTTCCGAAAGGTTTTCATCACGATGCTCCTAAAGTTCTGGAAGTTGCTGAATTAAAGCGCTAAACTAAAAAAAAAAAAAAAAAAAAAAAGTTTGATGACCGTCGTGTATTTGCCCCAACTGTGTCGCTCAGTCATGCGCGGATCATACCTATAAAGGTTTTCTGTTTCCTGTCGTTCTCGTTCACGTGGGTTCCGTATCTGGTATGGGGGCGAAAATATAAATAAAATTTTCAACCTGGGATATCGGTGAGGCAATATAGGTGAGGTAAAACAAGAATGTGTGAGAATCACGCATTTTGCTTAAACACCTTCCAGCGGCGTGGAGAGATCTAAACGATGTTTTACCGCATTCCAGAAGTGACGGCATTCAAGATGGCTGCGCCCTTGTGGAAAAGGTGTATAGGTGCGAGCACTGCAGTCCATTTTGCCGCTATTTTGTCAGAGGACGATTTCCTCGCCGTTTCTCCGTGATCACGCGCTGTCGGCGTTAGGCACATTATTCAGAGAGTGACACCACCCTGAAGCCGCCTGTCTCAGTGCTCGTATCTGGTACAAAAGACACGGTGTTGTAGGCAGACATCATGACAGAATCATATGTGGTCACTCCCCGCATACTCGACGCGTGTTCGCTTCACACATGCTTGGAACACAAGGATCAAACACGCCTCGGACACTGTTTGCAGACTGGCTTCTCTGGGATGCATTCGCAGTAGTGACCGCGCCTTAAGAAGAACACCGAGGTACCCTAATTCGGTTACTTTAAAAATCACAGTTCACCAGGTGCGCGCTTTCAATCTGTATTTTGAACGCTCGCAGACTGCAATGAAAGCGCCCGTAGAGACACGTTTCTAGGACGGTTTATTTTCCTCGCGGCGGTGAAGCGAGGAAACTAGACTGAAGTAACTCTTCGCGTGACACGTTACCGCGGCTGCTTATATTTCGGTTTTATTTCCTTAACTTTGATTGCGACGTCTTCATTCTTTTTTCTTCGTGTATTTTTTCCGTCTCCACGCTCCCTTTTTCATCTCCACCGCCACAATTGACGTATAAGTTTTCAAATCATACTAAGGGATTCATCATCCGTTTGACGTTGACACACTCGCTTTCTCGCCACATAAAAGCCCTCCGGGGCTATTCGCGAATCCCAGTGAGGTGACGCCATCTAGGGATGTATACGTGAAGCGGAGAAATGAGGAACTTCCGTCCTTGGGAACGTGCAGCGGGAACCGGCGCGGCCTGGCGGTTAGAGCGCGAAGCCAAGAAACAAAAATTAAAAAAAAAAAAATGAAGGAAAAACTTGGTTTGACGATATAGAGCGTGCTGGTAAGGTTACAGGAATAAACTGAAAGCGACAACAGGACGAGGACAGGACGAGGCTGGCTGCCTTCGCCTTTCTTTTACTTTCCGTTTATTCTTAGAATTAGGTTAAAGGCAAACCGAAACGGTTCTGTATTTGAGGAAAAACACTTTGATCGTCTTCATTTGGCATCCAGAATCAGAAATATCAGAATTTTTTTTTTTTTTTTTTTTTTTAGTTTGGTGCACGGAGATTGCGGAAGATCATTTTCAAAGTACCGCTGAAGCCCCTCGTTCCCGGAGCGTTACGTCATAAAAAAAGTTTTCGGAATCTCAGCTCTCGCGCACCTTCAGCGCATATCAAAGCTATACACGCGACCTCTCGCTATCTAAAAAAAAAACGTAGCTTTCAATGGCGCGCGCTGCCCACACGAGCGACACGAGCTTGGCGGCCGAACATCCTTTATGACGTAACGACGTGTCGGAGGTTTTCGTGTTTTCTCGCATTTAGTGACATCTTCGGGAAAAACGAACGTGCAGATTCACGTCAGAAAAAATACTCCAAAAAAATCCACCTCTATCTGGTTTTTCTTTATAAACTTTTTTGGTTTGGTTTAAGTTGCGTGCAAGGTAGGCATGGATCTCTAGACTCGTCAAACACAAAGTTGGAGCCGGACGTTGGTGGAGTGAGCCGAGCCGAGTGGGTTACGGCGGCAAAAGCGCGGCGTCATCGTTACGACAGCTCGAGCAGCGCGCGGTCCGTAAACCTCGGCCCCAAGTTTGGGTTTGTCGAGTTTAGGGCTCTGGGGGTCTACGGATCTGGTTGAGGTGAAACGTTCGCTCACAGAGTTACTTCATGCGATTCACGAAAGCCGTGTAGCGCCGTGACGCAAGCCCTCTGTCACGTAACCGTAATGAGGCAGGGAAGTTTATTTTCGCTGCTCTTCCAGGAAAAGAGCGACTTCGCCAACGTAAGGAAATGAAACCATGGAGAAATATAAACACTTTTCACTGGGCACTGGCTTAATTTTAGGGTCTCATAAGTATATGCAATGCTCTGTGCAAGCGAAAACCTGCAGACGAAGAAACAAAACAACAAAACAGTGACAGCGCGCGATTCTGAGCTACTTCCTTTAGGAAGCGATGCAACCGATAAGCTGAATACCATTTATCGGTGTCCACTTTCACTGGTGCGGGTAGGCCGTAAAATCTTCCTTAAAAAAAAAAAAAAAGAACAAAAATACAGAGGTTGTCTGAACGGTTTGCTGTTCCACAGCGGCAACCTATAATTTCCTGACCAAATGCAGCAGCACACGGGTGTACCGGTCGATGAACTACAGTGGATATTTCTTTTTTTCCATTGGAAATATGCCCGGTGTAGTTGCGTCAAAGGGTAGCCAGATTCAAACGGTCGTCAGACCTGTATATGCAATAAACGAACCCATAACCGGGCTATTCGCATGGCGCAGCGAGTCATGTGTTGCCCTAATCGCAGAAATGTCACACATACATAAAATGTGAGAGATAACCCGCCAACTCGTTCTAGAGTCAAGATTGCGGCGCCCAAAGCTGCACTATACACCATTTCATCCTCCCTCGCATGGGCGCTGCCATCTTGGAATCACGTGACGCGGCAGCCATATAGACCTTTGCAAAAAG